AAAATATGTCGGATGTTAATTATTTTATAAAAGGTAAAATTAGAATAGAACATGAGAAACGGCCAAAACTTGCCGATTTGATGGGTTGAGAGAAACGGTTAAAATTACACTACACTGATTTTGGGTGGTTTTTAAACCATCCAAAATCTGTGCCAAAAAAATTAGCAAGCACTGGTTTTCTCAACCTTTCATAAATGGTGCCACCTAAATTCGGTCAAAACCGATGAACAAAAAAACTCCCAAGCAGGCCCTAAGAGAATGTTATAATTTTTTAAAATTATAAACATTATAGATATGATAATGCTTATTTTACATTCTAGACATAAAATAATTACAATCATGCTACATCTATATCAAGTTTGACATAATGTGAATTGACAGATTTTTGTAGATTGATTTTAACGATACTTTTTCCAATCAATGGCCAGATTCCTTACACATAGGAGGATGTCAAACTTGATATCAACAATTGATGTACAAGAAGCATAATTCAAATAATTAACCATTTAATGCAATACTTCAAAAGTCTCGGTGACTATTGGATTTTGATGGTAGAGTTCTTCATATTCTTATATTCTATAGGAACTAAGCCCCTGTTTGACAACTATTATTTAAAACTCTTTAATTCTCATACTCATTTTCAATTACACATTTACACAATAAAATATTTTGTACGTAAACCCAAAACTTTTTCCTACTTTTTAATCATACATTCTCCAAAAAAAAAATCACTATTCAAAACTCCATTTTCTTAAAATAAGGGCCATCAATCAGGGTCTAAATGAAGTCATGCCTAATTTTAGCCTTAGAACTTGGTCTGAATTAAGCTCCATCTGCATCTTAATGGACCAATACCATCATTTTCATAAAATGTGTTTCAAAGAATAAAAGCTGAGACTGACACCAAGTTTTATTCTGAATGTGGAAAGTAAAAACCTTAAAATCATTTTTGTTTTTTCATATCATTCTTGATGGAATGGACGTGTATGGATGTCTAGTCCTGTTTCTCCATATTTGATCTTTTAAACATGATCACCAATCTAATCCAAGAAGCACTTTGATAAATTTAGACACAGATTTTCACACAATGATCTCCCATAGCAATTTCAGTATCACTCGGACCAAGATGGTTAACAAATACCCATAGAAGTACTATATCTAGATTGGATTAACCACAGCCTAATTTGCTTTATACTTGTGAACTTGTATTTAAGTTTGTTTAGACAGTGTTTAGACTGTATGCTTCCACTTAGAGTGTAACGATCCAGTCTTTATACTCAAGCCGTTATATTATACGTAGTGTCCGCTCTGGGAGGGTATAAGTCCATTTTTCTCATGAATTTTAATCGCGTTCCCAAGATTCGAAGAATTAAATTTAGGCCCTCCGAGATCGGACAGTACATATGATATAACGGTTTGGGTATAGAGGACAAATCGTTACAAAAAAAAGCACTTCGCTCAGCCGTTCTCTTACGTACTGTCCGCTTTGGGAGGGTCTATTTCAATTTCAACCACACATTTTCAAAAAAATACTATTCATTACACTATTTTCTTCTCAATAATGGTTGACAAACGGGCACTTAAGTTGAATTCCGGTACCAATTGGGCAACTTGTTCAATTGGTACCGGGATTCAACTTAAGTATAGGGAAAGGTCAAGGGCTCAAATTTTGGGGACGTTATAAAAATTTGTGAGAAGTAAGATGAACTCAATCTCTTCCAAAGTGGACAGTACGTAAGAAAATGGCCGAGCACGAGGCTTGGATCATAGAGCCCTCTCAATTAAATTTGGACACATTTGAAAAGAAAAAATAAACTGAGAATGAATGAGATGAGGACCAAACATATCATATGCTAACACTTTGTGGTAAATTATATAAATATTGTTTGGAATACCCTCAATATCAGCCAACAGTAGTGATCAAATTTAATAATTTGCGCTGAATAATATATTATGAACTAGTTATTACCCGCCTTTCATAACACGGAGTGATTTAGTTCTTAAATTGCTGAGAATTTTCTTTTAATTATGGTCAATCTTTAAATAAACATGTTATGATTTGTTGTAATCTCTAAATAAATTTGTTCTGGTTTGTTCTTTCTTTCGTTGGTTCTTTTCTTTCTTCTTGTTTGGTTGTTCTATTTTGTGTTGTCAGCATTCCTTTCTGGTTTTTACGAACTGAACACCGTCTGCTGCGAAGGTTTAACTAGACTATCAATAGTATTCTGATTTGATCTGAAAATCTTTCCTTTTTTTTTTTTGTAGTTTGAAATTTAGTGATATATGAGAAATTTGTTTGATTGTGTCTTGGTTGTAGGCTGATGGGAGAGATGTATCATTGGGATTGATATATCCTTGTTTCTTTGGCGCTAGGATGCTTGGCAGCACTGTATTTCCATGGTTGTTCAATGGACCCTTGTCGATTCGAATGGAAGAATGCTTAGTATATTTGCTTATTATGATGGGCCTTGTTTTCTCTATAGTTGCTTATGATTATCAGGTTCACACTTTTAGGCCATTTATCACTTGAACATTTGTTGGTCTTTTTAATGTAAAAATTCCTAGCTTGGTGTTATTAGTTTTTGATTCTGTAATTTTATGCACAGGAAATTGGAGTTCTCATGATGCTATTCATATTGTTTCATGCTTGCATGGGCATGGTTTTGCCTGCACTTGCCAGATTAAGATCAATGTAAATGATTTGTACTTAACTTTTTCCTAAAAGTTCCTTTCTCCTGCTCTTGTGAATAGTCGGGGACTTATGAGGGCACTACATCTTTCATTCATTTCGTGAGGACATGACATCTGCTTCTCAAAAGTATCCTCTTCCACTACGTCACTGAGCTTTTTGATAGAGTGCAAGACGTTATTTTGGAATGGAAACATCAATTGCCTCTTTCCAAATGAAGGATTATTTTTGACATATTTCATCTTGCTACTATGTGCACAGGTATGTGCCCAATGAAGTTCGTGGAGGAATGATGAGTCTATCTCTTGTACCTGCAAATGCAATGCTTCTCTTTCTTCTATTACAGGTGTGTGCTGCTGTAACCACATTGCTTTAGGATTGTCATTAATGAATTGTTACTATCTATGTCTTCTGCAACTTTCTCTTGATTGATTATGCGACTATTTAGGATCATTTACTTTTCTTGAGTTTCTCAATCTGTGAACTCTCTGATGGAAAATGCAACCAAGTAGACATCAGAAGAGTTTTTCATCCTTCAATTTTTTTCTTCCAAAGGTGAAGTGAAGTTCTACCCTAGTTTGAATCTGTGTGGCTGTAGTAGCGCATAATGAGGTTTGTTTGATATGGTAGTTTGCAGTTTTAGGGTTTAGTTTAATGATTCACTACATTCCATGTTAATGGAAAAATGCCCAGGCCAAATAACAAAATAAATGATACAGAAAATGATAAAATAAATTATCTAAGAACCTAAAAAATTTAGGTGTGCACTTAGCAAATCTCCTTCAGATAATAAACACCATTGCACTGGTGATACAACACTAATTTCAAAATCAATATTGCTTAATGACCTTGAGAAGCAACTGAAGTTTCACCGTACTCTTTACGACTAGAATGACCATGAATACTTGGATGTTTGAAAATTATAGAAGCTTAATTTTCTAGTTTATGAAAGGAGAGATCAATTTCTGAATTGATTTGGCGTGCTAAAATCGAGAGGAGGGTTTATTTATAGGCCTCTAGGTGTCTCTTCTGAAATGAAACTTCTTTTTTCAGTGTTTAAATCACGCTATTACCTTTTTGCAGCCGTCCACAATTCTTCAATGTACACCTGCGCATCGATAGGCAGTGTCCAATTATCGATTCCAGTCAGTGCATTTGACTAGTCACACCCTTTTTTATTTTCGTCTTGTTAATACCACCGACCAATTCAAAAATGCACATGTAAACCATCCAATGCAATCTGCTATGTATATAATATATCCAAGCACTCATTTTTTTTTTTTTTTGGATTTTCTAATTTCTGATTAGATTTCTTTGTCACGAATCGGTGTAAGTTGCTATTGTACTGATGTTGCAGGGGGGTTATTACAAGAGCATCTGGAACTCAACTATCATAGCATTAGCCGCTCTTGGTCTATTCTCTGCAGCTTGTTGCATGCATATATTGAAAAAATGGGGAAAGCAACTCCATCAGAACAGGCACAACTTGTGAAAGGTGTGATGGGTCTCTCCGATTTGTGGAGATGTCATTTTCTGAATTTCACAATCTCACCACGCATGTAAATATGGAACCGAAGATGAGAAACATGGGAATCATATAATGCCTGCTGGAAACAGGGGAATCCAACAAGAGGGTAATACTGGCTAAGTCTTCAATTTTAGGTAATTCTTTCAGTTAATTGCATCTGGCCTACAATAATGGGCAGCTGCTGTTCAGAAGTGGAAGAAGGCATACACGGTGGCAATTAATCCTCTTATTATGTCTATATTCTGGGTTTCGTCCATAACTATAAAATACCGAAGAGCAGGGTATGCCAGCATTGAAGCTATACAGTTGGGAGATATAATTTCCTGTTTTGAAGAATATTCAGCAGTGACCTAGTATTCAATGTCAGGTTTTTGCTTGTCTATATATCGTATTGCTGAATAGTTTCAATAGAATTGACATCTTACTTCAGAACCATCTATTTGTTTACTAGTACTGAAATTCAGCATTTAACTTATTTGAAGATTGTTATAACAAATTAGATAAAGTTTAATAGTTCAGAAAACTCCTGTCTCCATATTGAGCCACCCTTGGCCGGGCACAGGCCTAATCAAAACTGGATCGCTCCCTGCCTTTACATTTCTACCATTGCTCAGGATCAATATTCTTGTGAAAATTCAGAGAAAAGGAGTAAAGCTCCCTATTGAGAAGTAAATGGCAAAAGGTTTAGAAGGCGGTTAGATTTTGCTAGCATTTCTATACACTACAAAACTTACTTAGAACTCGAGTTTAAATAAAAATGGACTTCGACTGGTTAACATATAATTAGTCTTCTTCCTGATCTTGATCCCTGATCCACTTTGTGGCTACCCATTTTTCCCCCTTGATCACTGGGCAGCTCCCATGAAGAGATGTCTACAGTAGTAGCAAAAGAAATGTGTTTTAACAGTCAAAACTCAACACAACCATGGAGGCAAACAGGAATTGATTTAAATGTAAGGATCCGTTTGATTGCAAACGTAGAAAATGGGTGGAAAGAAAATGTTTTATAGGGAATTGTAATTAATTGTGTTTGAGAAGGTATAATTTTTCATGGAAAATGTAGAAAATTTGATGTCTGTTTGACTTCTTTTTTTATGAAAATTGTCCATTAAAGTGATAATTTTTTTATCATTGGGTTTAGAACTTGTTCCAATTGCTAAAAAAAAATTGAAAAAAAAATTATCATACTGAATACCATTCGTTTGGCTATGTTTTGCATGGAAATTGTCAATAAAAGTGATAATTTTTTTTACCATTGTGTTTAGAATTTTTTCCAATTGCCCAAAAAAATAAAAAACTTGGAAAATATTTATCAACCAAAACATCAAGAATTTGTTTTTCTCAAAAATGTGGAAAATTTGGAAAGTTGGAAAACATTTTCTCCAGAAAATTTTACCTATCAAATACTACAAAAGTTTTATTCATTTTCCATGGAAAATATGGTGCATCAAACGGAGCCTAAGTGAAAACACTACAATTACATATATGCATTGTGACTCACCGGGTCAATAGTACCATTCGGGAATAGCGAGTAGAACAAAAGTCCGTCTCCTTGGCGCGGCTTTACCTTCATACCCATACATTTACGATAATCATAAGTGGCGTCCATGTTTAGCCCGTTCTGTAGATCAAAGCATCGAGTGACTGCTGATTACATTACCGAAGAGAGGAGGGACCAATAGAAGTAAAAAGAAACTGGTAAATAACAAAATGATGAAAGAAAAATGATCAATCTTACCTCCAAAGGGAACATGGTTTCGCCCCCTTCTTCAACATCAGACAAATACAACAAGAAAGAAGCAATCTGAACAAATCAAATTAAGTTTAGGTTACAATAAGTAATTATTAGACATAATTAACAGTGTGTGCATAAAATCTTGAACAAGAAACCTATTTCATTAACTAGCTTAGGAAGATCTCTCTGTGGGCAATCTTGTACTGTTTTTATGTTGAGCTGGTGATTTTAGAAAGGGGAGAAGAATTAATGCAAAGAGATGCAATTGTGGCGCAAATGATTGACATGAACACTTCATCCTGAGATCTATCATCACCAGATTTCTGCCCCTTTTTGGGCCATCAGGTACTAAACCATTACTCAAAGAAAAGATTGAATGAACGAATATCTATCTAATATATTTCTTGCATTACCCTTTGGCTCTTCTGTGGACCGTATTCAGCAGGATTGAAAGCATCATAATGAGAATGATATCTCTGACCAATCTCATAACGCAAGACATTGAAGGCCTGAAACATGGTACATGTTTGATTCAGAGAACTTCTAAAGATTTAACTAATTCAAATCAAATAACATCATACAAGTATATGAAATGAACAATTATGCATCTTCTTGGCAAGCTAAAATTCAGGCTCGTTTTCCTACTATTATATTCACATTATTCTTTATGAGAAAGCAAAAAGATTCTATTTATAAAACGCGTACTTGGGTACAGTGAGATAAAATAAATGATGTAGCTTAACTCACATTACCTCTCCATGGGTTCTGTGGATCATTGTTGCTTTTGCAATTTTTTCCTCAATTTGATACAGGATTCCTGTTTTGTCTTCCGATGCACTTATAAACATGCCAGAACTGAAAGGAAAGAAGATCACAATTTGAAAGGTAACACATACAGATAATTTTATGCAAAATTCAATACCGTGACAGAATTTTAAAAAGTACAGTATGAGCAGAGAAATAATATATATTCTTACTAAAAACCCACCCTTTGACTCCAGTTGGAAAGAGTAATTACCTTGTCCTAATACCTTTGGTATTTTCAGCTGTTTCTCCCTCGCGTAGTGCTAAGGAAGATGGTTCAAGCCGTGTCTTTGCAATTTCGATTACACTTTTGCATTCTTTTGCACTAGCAAAATTTGGAAAGTATAATGCCCGTGGATTCCAGCTCAAAATCTGTATCAGAGCAATAAAGGAACAAGAATATGATTTAAAGGTATAAGAAAGAAAGCAGAACCATCAGATTGTGTGTCTGATGTTGAGGTTTATACACATTAACAAGACTTTTTGTTTCAAATGTGTTTGTAGCTTATCGTTAAAAAGTTCAGTTCTTATAACAATTTTCAATTTTATGATAAACTGACAAGCATCAGAAATCTATTAGTTGCAGTGGATGCATTTGAAATATGCTTGAAAAATCCATGTGGATTACCACCCTCAGTGCAGAGGATTCAAATTTTCCCAATTAAAATGCTTAATCCCAAGGCTTAAATATATTCATGAAATGAAATCCATCCATAAGTTATCTGCTTGCCTATACAATCAAATTCTAGTGATGCTATTTGCTTAAATATTCATCAAACTTCTGATAATATAACAACACTGTATTAAATTTCATTTCATCACTTAAGATTTGCACAGAAATTAGAATTCAAATCAAAACTCACCTGAAAAGGGATCGAAGTGAGAGAATCCTCTCCAGTCTTTCCCCGTGGCAGAGCATCAAATTCTTTCTTCTTCGTCTTCTCTTCCGGCAGTCCCCGAGGCCAAGGCCTTAAAGAAGTATTTGACACTTCCTGTCACACATATAATCAATATATTAGCCCTCCAAAGCCTAGCCACTCAATATACTATCAGCCATCAAATGGGTAAATTTAAAAAATAATAACAATAAAGATTCAGGCTCACAAACGAGTTAGATTATTGCAGGAAGATAAAGATAAAGTAGAAATTGAAGGGAAATCAGAATCACCTGCTGAGAGAAGAGACTAGAACCAAAGAACCCGGCAAGAAAAAAGAACATGCATAGCAAGAAAATGGATGGCAGCCCTAAAATCATCCAATTTCCTCCTCCAAGTTTGCTTCCTTTGTTCTTCATTTTGTTTCCTTGACCAGAAAAATCAATGGCGATTAGTCTTATTCTTTCAACAGCTAAACACAGTTTTCTTTCGTGCTTTTTCTTTTCTTTTTGTGCTTTCGAATATTCAAAGTTTCATACGTGTATGTATGTTTCAACTTTCAAATGCAGCAAGCAAATCGATCATGACACTCGTACGACTTGTCTCCCCGTACGCGGCGGGAAGTGATATTTTGTTTATTGTGTAAAATAACAAAGAAGGTCTCCCAACTTACAATAAAATTTCATTTTAGTTATTCAACTTTCTTTTATTGTTTAAAACTTATAATTTAAGTTTCACTTGAATTACCAGAACCATTCTATTGGAAAATTTAAAGTCCTTTCTTATGTCGTAGGAAGACTTGAGAGTGGACTCCTCGGATAGTAGTTTGCTAAGTTGGTTATTCAGCAATGTGAACTCACGCCTTTTAACTTAGCATTATTCTATTGAATCCAATTTTAACAAAATCACGTATGATATAAATATGAAGTTTATAAGTTGAAGAGCTTATCATTGCACAATTGGACAACTAAAGAGCTTTACTAACATTAGAAACAAAAAAGATTAAAAAGGTATTGCCCATGTGAGAAAATTCTTTGCCATGCGAAAAAAGAGATTAACTTTTGTGATAGAAACAAAAATTGATTGGCCTTTTGTAACGCGCATATCACGTAGATTGATCCAAGAAAGTAGCATAAGAAAGACAATTATTTATTATTATTATTATTACTTTTTTTTTTTTGTGAAAATAGGAAATGAAAAAATTCATTATAATCAGATTAGATTGGATGAAATGGATAATGTCTATTCCTATCCTAAAACAATTCTAGACTGTACTTCTAGATCTTTCAGCCAATTTACTTTGAATATGTATTGAGTATGCTAATTAAATTTTTTTTTTTTTTTTTTTTGAGCGAGAGAATTATTTGGAGGGAGAGAAAAAGCTTGATTTTCTATTTGACAGAGGTGGTTGTATAGCTTGAATGATGAGTTTGGAATAAGAAAAGTTGAATGACTAAATGAAGCTTTTTTAAAGTTGAGTGACCTCTCGTATTATTTACCCTTTGTTTATTTATTACAAAAGAATAAAATAGAATTTAGTTTAGTTAACGTTATCCAAAAAATATTGGATTCCGGATTTTTTTGGTTGAGGATAGGTGTATAAATTCTCTATTCGGACTCTATTTTAATGTGATTTTTCGAAGAATATGTGATGAAAAGAGAAGAAAATTTTTTGAATTTACGTGTATTATTATTTTATGAAAGAATGTACGATAAAAAATGAGTTTTGAAATAAAAATAATGAAGCTAACTGAATAATTAAATAATAGTAGTCAGATGTTGATTATTGAAAAAGTGACATGTAGTGCACGTGGGTGGGGTGCAGATTTAACATTGAGATTTCGAGAATCTGTACCGCCCGTAGTATGATTGGTAAATCCAGGTGGAAGCCATTTATTATTCTTCTAGTTGTCCATGACTTGACAACCCATTCTCTATTCTTATGCTGGTAGATTGATTCTCTCGTAGAATTGATTTTCGACTCAGTGAACAGAAATTTTGCTGTTCAAACCGGTAAAAAAGGAGGTTGTCACATCGACGGGTCAAATCACAAAAAAAAAAAAAAAAGAAGAACTATTTGACCAATCGATGTGATTGACAATTGATCAGGTATACTTGTCTTCATGGCACCTTTTTAACTTTTTGAGTCGACTATTTATGCAATGTGAATAATGCAAGCTTATATGATTTGCTCGAGCTGTTCTTCGACTCTCGATTAGGGGCAGATTCAGGATTGGATCTAAGACCGAGTTACAAAATTTCAAATTGGGCTAATACGCTAAAAAAAAATTTTTTTACACATGAAAAACTGTTTTAAGAAAAAAAAAGAAAAAACCTTAAAAAATTTTTTTTTNATAGCCCAGCCAAGCCCTCCCTGTATCCGCCCCTGCTCTCGACCTACATACACTTGAGGAACTGGTAAATCTGTATCGTGTGCTTTGCTCATCCTTTGACTTATAAAGTGCAAACACTCGTGCACTTATATCTGTTGGGTTTTTTGATACCCAATAATCTGGGCTATGATGTTAAATTGATTTTTTAGTTGGATTAGACATCATAGGCCTCGGTCGACGATTAAAGTGAAATGTTAGCACCACATTTAACGAATCATTCCGACAACCTAAGTGGACCATTTGAAGTAACCTAATTAAGTTAGTGTCACTCATGACCCGACCCATTACCTTTGAAGGTTTTTCGGTGGTAGCCCTATTATTTCCTATTGGGCCTAACTATGTTATAACCTAAAAGCCCACACTTGGTACCTTTATATACCTTGCCCATTACTGTTGAAGTAGTGTGAAAGTTTGGGCGAGCAGCCATGCGTTGAGAGAAAAAGACAGTCCCTTTTACTTCGTGTTTTCTTCCTAAGCTTCGTGTCTCGTGTGCTTTGTCTTCTCTTTCTTTCTTAGTCTTTGTGGCTTACTCGTGAGCTCTCATAACCTCTTCACACTCTGCCCTTTGTGGGCAAACCGTAGAACAACCGGTATTGGTGGGTTTATGGCTGGTTTGGATTTAGGTTGTTGTTTGTGGTGTTCGATTGGAAGTTAACTGAGCCTGGTTTCTTGGTGTGATTGGAGCTCAATATTCAACATATGGTATTAGAGCTTTAGGTGGTGATTATTTCCGGCGAAGACAGCTCTAAAAATCATCATAAATCGTCCAGAAAGTTGAATCAGAAGACTGTCCAGTTTTCTTCAAATCTGCCTGAGACTTTTTTTGCTTTTTCTGATGAAACTAGTGACTTTCTGGAGAATCCAACACCACAGGAGGCCTCTGCAGGTGGAGATAGTGCTGCCTGCCGGCGCGTGAGAACAAGGGACGGTGCGTGTAGCGACACGTATGGCCCACGCGCAGGGATGGCGAAGGCGCGTGAGCGCCCATGGGGCTGATTCAGGCCTAGGTTCCTTCAGGCAGTTTGTTATTTTTGACTTTCTAAACGTATTGATATTTTTGGTTTAGTATTTCAGGCTTCGCAGAGAAAATTAGACAATTTTGCCTCTGCGTTCGTAATTCAATTGTCGCTGCCGCAGTTGTTGGAGACTTTAGAGCGAAGAGTGGTGGCCCTAAAATGATAAGTGCCCTAAAGTGATAAGTACGCTTCTCTCATAATTTACGGACTCAGATAGGTCCGCTATGGTAAATTGGCTTATCTCATTTAAATTTTAGCATTAGCGCGTTATCGTATCGGGTGCCATTAGGATTGGGGTTATCGTGATGGTAACCACTGCCTGTTCTAGAATTTTAGGACTTACTTGCTCTATTTGAAGTGTTGAATTTGATTGTAAGTTGGTAATTGCTTTTGTGCCGTAACTGTTGTTTAGTAACTGTGTGAGACTACATTGCGTGAAAATTTTGAACTTTTTGCTTATTTATCTTCGTGTTGCACTGATTATCGATTATCCCATTAGAACACCTGGACTCGACCCGTTCGAACGTTTTCTTGATTTGAGATTTCGAGTCTTACGAAACTCTGGGAATCTCGAACGGTGTATATTGTTATCTTAGGATTACTATGTGTGACCTATTTGCGTATTTTTTGGGTTGTTCTGTTTTTTCAAAATGTCTTCACATTTCGAAATTGGAATTTTCAATGGAAAAAAAACAATTTTTCGATTTGACAACAAAAGATGAAAGATATTTTAGTCCAACAAAAAGTTTCAAAAACCATTGATGGCAAATTTCCTGAAAATTTTTCAGAAGTACAAAAAGAAGAATATGATGAACTTGCATACACTTCAATTATTTTACACATGTCTGACACTGTTTTGAGAAAAGTTGGAAAACTTGATTCTACCAAAGAACTTTGGAAAAAGTTGGATGATTTATATTTGCTTAAATCCACTCCTAACAAGTTGTACTTGCTTGAAAGATTTTATA